TCTACGGTCAGCTACAAATGTGTCGTAAGGAAATGGAACAAAAGGATTTCCATTTAATTAGTAACAATAGGTTCATCGTGTTTCACATTTTTAATCCCGCAAGGGATTGCGCTAACAGCTTTTTTAATGCCAGATGTAGAACTCTCTTCCCGTGTGTTATTTACAATTTTGGCTGCTGCTTCCATCTAGTCTTGCTAGGGTAAATCTACATCTCATCACCAGTGGTCATTTAACACAATTGCCTATGTATTCATTTTAAGCTTGTCTAAGTTTTCAATGCTTAAAAAACAAATTTAACTAAAGTTTTAACCGATGATTCAACTTGATACCCTCCTATACATACGAAAGAACATTTCAAAATTGAATTGAAGTTGTTATCTAACATTACAGGGACTCCTAACATTTGCTGTAAAGAGAGAAGTGCAATGTCTTTCTATTGAACAATTTGTTCTGAGTGAGAGAACTTTTTGACTGCTCTATATATTTATTTTTAAATAAAATAGCTGAAAAATTAACAGCGATGTGCAAACAAATAATGCGTCAATTATTTTCTTCTAAATGTCAATTAACTTGTCTTCGACTTGATATAACAAATGATAGTTCGGATTATCGAATACATCAAACTTTTTCACCATATTATAATATTTATTTAAGTGAATTTGATAATCAACTTAATACGAATTGTATGACGCTTCGTTGTTTACATATTAAAATTGTATTTGGTTATTTTATTGAATATGTTATTGAACATGTACCTGCTCTTGAAATTCTTTCAGTTACATTTAAATATTCATTGGTTAGAGAATTTTTACATCAAAGAAGGATGATACAATTTGTACCAACGATATCTAATTGGAATGATAAGGTAAAGTAGTAGAAACATAATCTAAATATTGTTTAATAAGAAAATAATTGAATCGTTTCTATATAAATGTAGTCAAAGAAATTACTGATCTTTTATAAAAATAGATAGATTCATTTCGATTATACTATATTAACTTATTTTTAATTGTTCGATTATTATAGTTGAAGAGAAATTTATGCTTTGTTTTTGGCAACTATTAATGAGGAAAACGAGTGATTGTTTTTATATATTTCTAATTAACGTAGATTAATCGATTGTATTCGACTGTCTAATATTAGATTATTTTTAATCTATACGCAAAAACTCAAATCAAAATAATTCTTGAACATGTTCGATATCACTCAATAGCAGACTAAGTTCTCGAATGTATTCCATTGATTTTTTTAGTAATCTAGTTGGTTAAAATATCTCATGTCAGCTGAAAAAATAATAAGTTTAGAACATCATCTACTTTATTTTATCTAAAAAAGTTTAAACAAATGATTGATTCATAGATGTTGAAATGTCTTTATTCAAAATAATTTAATTCTACCGAATAACAAAAAGATTAATGTTTTTTTATTTTTCAAATATTTCCTTTCACTATAAACTCATTACTAAGAATAACTTTGTTATGATCTGTGTCAATAGACACAAGGTCATACATATATATTTTTCTCCTTATCTACATCTATATATAGTGATTCATTGTCCATTCACATTGAATCTGTATGATTCAGTTTTGTTTTACTTTTTCTTGTCTATCGCTAATCGTGTATCGTGAACCTGGAATAAAAACAGATTCAAAACACCCTTGAACTAAACGTTCATCGTAACAAACTTCATGATAAGAAGATATATCTTGACTAATACTGAAATTATATAAAAAGCAGTTGATGAAAGTTTTACGGTAAGTTTCTCTCTTTCGAAAGTATTATCATATACAATAATACTTATCATGAATATATCGCTGGTCAATAGTATTATATGTATAGACTTTAAAAAGAAAGACCTGTTTAGTGAGAGAGCTTATCACGGTCTGCTTTGTCGGTGATTGATAATCGATCTATGAAACCTCTCAATGTCAATGATTCGTTTTTTTCTAGACATGATCTGTCTCTTTGTTGGCACCTAATTTTTTATAAGAATTAAAATATTGATGATAATTGAACGAAATAAGATGTTCGTCCTGAAAAGACATAAAAAAGATTATGCTAATTCAAGTGAAATTATCCTATAAAATGTTTGTCATGTCAATAGATAATTAAGAAAATTGAAAACATTTCTAATAGAGTAGACAAACTAGTTAAATAAGACATAAGAAGAAGACTTAACACAACTTTTATAGAGTATTTGATTGATCTGATAGATAAAAACAATTCATATACTAATTGTTGTTGTAGAAATACAAAATCGATTCATTGAAATTTAGCTAATAGGTTGCTTTTGAATTCAAGAGTTTCTCTTATTCTCATATTGTTATGTTTTCTGGATGAATTTTATATAAAATAGATGGATCATATTGAAATAAATCTATTTAAAAGTAATTATTTATTTAATTTCAGCTTCCAAAATTAAAATGTTTTACATTAAAAAGTAAAATTCTCGATGATTCTGAGTTAAAATATTTAAAATGGATTCTTAATAATATTAATCATATTGAACAATTAAAACTTTATCTTGAGATAAATTTAACATCTGAAGATGATTCAATGAAAACGAATTATGTTATTGACGCTAATTTTATTAGTCAATATTGTATGGCTGATACATTGAAAAATTTAATTAATTTTAATTTTTATATTGTATCCAAATGTCAGTTATTATTAGATAATATTCAAATAATTGAAGAATCATTTAAAAAACATAAATTTTTTCTTGATCATCAATGGATAAATGTTAAATGTTCTTTTGATCAAATTATGTCATATCAACATCTATCAACAATAGGAATAATTAAACCTAAATTATTTGATGGTATTATGTAAGAATTTTAATTTATTCATATTTATCATTTTTTTGTTTTCATCTCTTATAGAAATTATCGAAATATTTTCGATTGGAAATACGTGAAATATTTAAATGTAAATTTAAATTCATCAATTGATTTATTTCTTGGAAAATTTAATATTATATTTCCTCATATAACTTGTATTAAATATGATATGGGTAAGGATTTTCTTTATTGTGAATAATTTAATGAAAAATTAATTAAGTCGAAAAAGTAAAGAAGTAGAAAAAAATACTCTGTATCGACGAGATCGTTCTCTTTTCTTCCCAGTTCGAACGATACCAAGCGTACTATCATTAAAATAAAGGCGTATACTGTGAAAATACGGCTCCGTATTACTGTGCTAAAAAACGGTGTAGTATACGGGACCGTATTTTCACAATATACGGTCTTATTTTAATGATGGTATAGTCCGTATCGTTCGACTCGGGTTGTTTATATTAATTTACTTCATTAGTAGCATTGTTTGAATCAAATTAAAAATCTTCTATAAAACTTTTGTTTTTCTTTTCTTGTAGGACAAGATAAATTTGTTAGAAACATTGAATATTCAATTTATTTAAAATCATCATTAGATGTATTAGAATGGAAATTAACGAATATTCGTCTCGAATATGTAACAAGACTTGATTTTGGATTTGATTTTCGGCGTGATTCTGGTAAATCTTTATTTTCTTCTTTTCTAATATTTGCCAAACACAGTAAGTATTTCTTAATCGTTTCTATAAGACTGATTCTTTCAATTTAATCTATTCAATGTTTGCAAATAATTGTGTCGATTTAATAGACAAATTTTTCAAAAAAATTCTTTTTATTTAGTTATGAAAATTAAAAGAAATCTATAAAGATTATTAAAACTCTATTAGAAGTTTTATCTTCATCTGCATATCAGATGCTATTAAATATTAGAATTGATCGATGCACATCTTATACATAACATATCATAGTGACACACCATTAATTCTCTTCTGAATAATTTTTACAATCATTTAGGTTACTAGACGAACGTTGAATTTGAAATATTTCTATAAAAATATATCTTTTTTTTTGAATAATTCTAACAATGAAACGAACGATTTCTTTTTTTTCATTTGTGTTATCGTCTAATCCAAGTTGTATTGTTGAAGAAAATTTTTTGGAACTCTTAGCGAATAGAATTAAATCAAGAATAGACATGAGAGATCTCTGATGCTTTATTTTTATTGACGCATATTATTGTTATAAACAATGGAATTGTTTAATCACTTTCTCTTAGATAAAATTAATTTCTTTTCGACATACTGTACAAGTTGATTTAGAACGAAGAATACAGTCCACATGAAAAATTTTCGTAACGGTACTATTCGAATATGATAAATTGTGTAAATTATATCCGTGTTTCATTTCAGATTAGGAGTTTTATTGATAAAAAATATTCGTTCTTCATAAGAATAATTCTATTGAGACAATTTTAAGTTATGATCCTCTTTTTTTCTAACTCTTAAAAACAAGTCTATTTTCGTAAAAAGAATGAAAATATAGATAAAATTAGGAAGAGGGGGATAGGAATGTTGATAAAGAGAAGGTTAACATTTATCTAAACCTACGCGTCATTTACATTTGATTAAGATCAATATAGAAGCGAGAAATACAGAATTAATTCTGTTTTTAATTTAATTAATAATACAACTGTGAGAATAGTAATTAGGAGTTTTTATTAACCAATTGTTGAGCATTCTTTGAGAAACAAATTCTTCGAATTAATTTATTAAAGTAAATTTGTAAAAATGTCACTATTTTGATAAATATATATTTTTCAGAGAACAATAATAAATCTGTTGATGTAAATAAAGCACGATCAGAAATTCTTGCTCATCTTCTTTCAATGCCAATTCAATTGATTTATCTCAGAATTGAACAGTTTGAATGGCTTTTACACATTATTCAATATGTAAGTATGTTTTTTTTTAATTTTAACTATGAAAGATAAAATACAAATTCGATTTGATTTTTCTAAAATCTCCTACTTGTCCAGTTAAAACGAATATTATTTATTCAACTGTCAAAAAATTCTATTTTATATTTTTTGTCAGAGAAAAAATGTTTTGTGTTAATAAATTTCTTATCAAGATTGATTCTATAAGTAAATCTTTATATATATATATATGTGAATAGGTGAAGCGTATTTTTGCATAATGATCTTAGTATGAATATGAGTCTTCGCACTTTTATTTAGGAGAATAAAACTCATTAACTGAATATATGGTTGGAAGTTTTGAACAGAATTTTTGAAAAAAAACTATATCCTCACAAGGAAGACTTCTCGTACGATTGTTTGTTACACAATATTTTTTAATAAAAAGGATTCAATGTTTATTTGAAAAAGTGAAACTTAAAGATATTTTCTATTCATCGAACAAAGATTTCGATGTTCCTATTTCATCTTTCGAAGAACTTCATAATATGTTCTAGTATGATATCGAGATAACTAAAGTAACGAACGAATATAATCAACATCAATATTTATTCATTCATTTGATTTAGATTTATCATAAATGATTTAAAGTATTCTAAGAAAGTATTTCATAAGAATAAAACTAAAAGAAAATTTCTATTACATAAACAATTCCAGAAATTTTGAATAAAATCTCTCTAAGATACGAAGCTCTGAAAAAACATGCATACTATATATATTATTTATGGAGAAGGAACTGTACCTTGATGGTTTCATATTTTGGACATACTTTATTCAAAACTTCTGAAATTTTTTATGCAACCTAGTCTAGATAAGACCTTTATGTAGACATAGATTCAGGTCTAAATTCAAGAGTATATATGTTGTGCTGCCGATGTAAGCGTACTATAGAGAAAATTCACTAGGAGTTCCATATCTTCTCGAAAACAAACCAGAGGTTCGAACTTTTTTTTACAATA